CCTAAGAAATAATAGCAAGATATCAAAGGTTGTTTCTTTTGTGGGAAACTTGGACATTCAAAGAAGGAATATACCAAGTATCATGGCTTGACAAAAAAAGAAAGGTGCATCTCTTACTTTGATTTGTTCTGAAATAAATTTGACTTCAGTGCCTAGAAACACATGGTGGTTAGATTATAGTGCAACTACTTACATTAGTGTTTCTATGCAGGGATGCCTAAATTACCGAAAGTCAACTGATGTTGAAAGATGCATCTTCGTGGGTGATGGCAAATCAGTAACAGTGGAGGCAATCAGGAATTTTAGATTATTATTATCTACCGGTTTTTATTTGGATTTGAAAGACACCTTTGTTGTTCTGTCTTTTAGGCGAAATTTGGTATCAGTTTCTTTGTTGGACAAATTTGGTTTTCATTATTTCTTTGGAAACAGTATGTTTACTTTATCTTTAAATTCAAATAGTGCTAAAACTGGTTATCTCAATGACCTTGATAATTTATATATGTTTGACACAATTTCCTATAAGAATCATTACATATGGAATCATGTGGTTTAAAACGCAAAGAAGTCAAGAAAATTCGGTTTTTTTATGGCACAAACGTTTGGGTCATATCTCAAAGTCCAGAGTTGAACGCCTTTGATGGTATGTTATGTTCCCTTGACTTTACCGACTTTAAAATTTGTATTAATTGTATCAAGCAAAAACAGACCAAAATAAAGAATTTAGGAGCCAATAGAGCTACAGACGTCTTAGAACTAATTCATACTGATATTTATGGGTCATTTCCTATGGCTTCTTGGAATGGTCAACAATATTTCGTTTCATTCATAGACGATTACTTTAGATACGGGTACCTATTTTTAGTTCATGAAAAATCACAGTCTTTAGACGTGTTCAAAACTTTCGAGGTTGAGGTTGAGAAACAACTTAACAAATCAATCAAGAGCGTTCGATCTGACTGTGGTGGTGAATACTATGGTAGATATGATGGCTAGGTGAACAACGTCTTGGACCATTTGCCTGATACTTGGAGGAATGTGGAATTGTCCCACAGTACACCTTACCAGGTTCTCCTAGTATGAATGGTGTAGCTGAAAGACGAAATCGTACTCTTAAGGAGTATGGTTAATCATTCTACCTTAATAAAGTCATTCTGGGGGACAAGCACTTAAACAACAGCTTATATTCTTGATAGAGTTACCAACTAAAGTAATTGCCAATATGCTTTATGAGCTTTGGACTGGAAAGAAACCTAGTCTAAAATATTTTCATGTTTGGAGATATCCAGCTGAGGTTAGGCCTTACAAGCCATATGAAAAGAAGGTGCTGGAATCCAAAATAATTAGCAACTACCTTATTGGCTATGCTGAGCGATCAAAGAGGGATAAATTTTATGATCCCACACCTAAGAAAATTTTTTAAATGAAAACTGCAACATTTTTTTAGGATTTTTGATAGTGTACAGATTTCTATACCTATCACTGAAGAAGAAGCATATCAGGATCTTCACCCAAACAATTTTGAATAAACTCTTATTCATAATGAAGTGATTGTTCCTCAAAAGCAAATTCAACCACCTCAATAACAAATATCCTGAAGGCGGTCCACTAGAGAAAGGAGAAGGGCTATACCAGACGATTTCATTGTCCTTCTCCAAGAACATGGACATACTAGTAGAATGAGAGAAGATGATCCAATCAACTTTCGTCAAGCCATGCTGGATCTAAATTCTCAAAAGTGGATTGTAGCCATGAATGAAGAGTATAAATCTATGCAAGACAATAAAGTTTGGGAATTTATCTCATTGTCAAAAAGGGCAAAGCCTATTGGTGGTAAGTGGTTTTTCAAAACCAAAAGGAATGTGGAAAGGTATAAAGTATAGGAAATAGAAGGAATTATTTAGATGAAAATTATTATTGTATCGTAGATAAACTACTACCTTGAAAGCAATTTCGGCATGACCATGGGGCTAAATCTTATGTACGTTGGTTGCTCCCCAATGTTAACACAACTTCGAACTCAGGCGTACACTCGCTGGAGCCGAAATGCTTCGAAGAACATGCTCAAAAGTTTTTGTCAGAAGGATTTTGATCTTACTCTCTCCCAAATGAAACCAAAAGAATTTTTTTTCAAAATGAAAAACAATGAAATGTTTTAAAGGACTTAATTAATTGAAATGTTACAAAATAAATTAAAACGCTTAACAATTAATTACCCAAAAATAAATTTTTCAAAACCATAAAAGTGATAGTTATTTTACCTTTTGTCAATATACTTTGTCATTCCCAACATAAAACACTTCCTGTAGCTAATGGTTTTACTCGAAAGAAAGGAATTGATTATAAAGAGGTTTTCTCTCCAGATTCATTGGAATACTCTTTTAGGATAATCATGGCGCTTGTTGCACTTTTTGATCTTGAGCTCCATCAAATGGATGTTAAGACAACGTTTCTCAATGATGACATTGATGAGACAATTTATATGGTACAACAACAAAAATTTGTATTTAGAGACCCAAACAACATAGTATGCTAATTAACAAAATCTATTTATGGGCTTAAACAAGCTTTCCATCAATGGTATTATAAAATTCATCAAGTAATTATCTCATTTGGTTTTGAGATTAATATTATTGATGATTGTGTACATCACCAGTATGCTTCATGATACCAAGAGATTTTTATCTAAATATTTTGAAATGAAATATCTTGTTGATGCTTCTTTTGTATTAGGAATTCAAATACATCGAGGTCATTCTCGAGGTGTTCTTGGATTATCACAAAGAAGCTATATTGATACGATACTTAAAAGGTTTGGCATGCAAAATTGTAAACCTGGTGATTCCTTGTTGCTAAAGGAGATAAATTCAGTCTTAATCAATGCCTTAAAAATAATCTTGAAGTTAAAGAAATGGACAATATTCCTTATTCATCTACAGTAAGGAATCTAATGTATGCTCAAGTATGTACGTGTCCGGATATTGCATATGTTGTTGAGATGTTAGGCAGATACTTGAGTAACCCTAGTATGGATCATTAGAAAGCAGTAAAACGGGTCATGAGGTATTTGCAAAAGACAAAAGATTACATGCTCACATATAAGAGATCAGATCAGTCAGTGATCAATGGGTATTCCGACTCTGATTTTGTTGGATGCCAAGACAATAGGAGATCCACTCCAGATTATATTTGTCTATTGGCTGGTGGAGATATATTTTGGAGGAGTGCCAAACAGACGCCCATAACTTCTTCCACAATGGCAGTAGAATTTGTAGCATGTTATAAGGCATCCAATCATGGAATATGGTTCCAAAATTTTGTCACAGGGCTACAAATTTTAGAGGGTGTTGACAGACCACTCAAAAATATTGTAACAATAAGCTAGTAGCGCTTTATTCCAGTAACAATAAAAGCTCATCTAAGTCTAAATATATAGATATTAAGTTCCTAGTTGTGAAAGAAAAAGTGTGGAGAGATCATATATCCATAGAGCATATTGGAGCAAACTCCATGATAGCGGATCCGCTTACAAAAGAATTACCTCCCAAAGTCTTTCATGAGCATACTACTCATATGGGTGTTATTTTGCACGAGGATATTATGTTTTAGTGGGAGTTTACGTTGCTCTATGTTTCATTTGGACATATATATTATGTATTTTGGATAATTATTCTGATCATAAACATGAAAATTAATTTTATTCTACTTTGCCTCATTAGGTTAAAGATTTTGATCTCACCAAAGTAAGTAAGGACAGACAAGTTGGAAATAGACAATGTACATATCACATTTCATGTAATTTTCATGTTATGCATCTATGGTTTGATCTATGTCATTTAGTTATATTGGTATTGTGACCACCAATGGGTTTAGTTGTGTTTAATTGTAACGAAGACCTCTTTGATCCTTACTGATATCAAGGTTCAAAATGTCAATGTCAATGGAAATATCGAGGTCTCAATTTTACGAACATATCGATGTCGACAGGTATTTGGAGAAAAATCACGGAAATTGTGAAAAGTAATAAAAATTATTTTAATTAGTAAATAAAACTTTAATTGTAGCTTAATTAAGCTATAATTGATCACTTCTCACCATCATATGTAAAAATATGAGTAATTTACTTATGAAAATGTCAATGTCGATAAAAATGTCGGAATAAGATAATGAAGATTGACGAAAATAATTTGAATTAGTAAATTCAAGTTCAACGTGGCTTAATTGTGTTTTATTGATAATTAATCATTTATAACCAAATATAGTGTTTAATTACATAAACAATATATGAAATATTGATATATATACAGTACATATGTGTTTTAATTTTTCCAACATCTTTGGCTAGAACATATACTAACTACCACATCACTGTTTCATTAGGTCAACTAGGAGTAACCTTAACTAAAAGATCAATTAGAAACTAAATTCAAATTTTAACAACGAATTAAAAACTAAATTCAAACTTGAGGACTGAACATGTCACTTAATGACATTTAAGAACTAAATAGAAACTAACTTTAAATCTCGACCAAAACTCATGGTTTTTTAGTATTAAAAAACCAAATAGAAATGAAGCTCAAACTTCAAGGACCCAAAGTGCATTTTATCCTATTTTCTTTTATCTCATTCTCTTTACCACAATTTCAACACACTACTACACTTAATATATTTTTAGGTAAAATACATTTTTAGTTCCTAAGTTTTAGGATAGGTTTCCATTTGGTGTCTGAGTCAAACTTTTATAAAATAGTTCTAAAAGGTTCCTAGAATAACACTTCGTTTGTTCGCATCTTAATTATCAAAATTAAGACCTAACATGAGACTTTAATAGTCACTTTTCAAAAATATGTGGATCAAAATAAAAATTTTAAAACTATGACCAAAATAGATCAAAGTTAAAATATAGAAACTAAAATAAACATTTTAAAAATACCGCCCAAGATCCATCAAGATAACATATATAAAAAGAGCATAAATTATCACTAAATTAAAAAACAAAATTAATAATGTAAAGCCAACAACCAACCTAACAACATCAATAAATAATCCTAATGGTGTTAACTATACATAAACCAACCACATCAAACACATCTGATTCCTAAATAAAATCTATAATCTTTCAACTGTCTATATTATATTATACACAAAAAAAGAACAGACCCATCTAAATCAAACTGCCAAAAATTATTACCCCAAAAAAAAATGAAACAATGCCCTAGCAAGCCCTTCTCAAGCAGAAGTGAACTCGGTCTGGCTCGAGCGACGGTGGTGTCTTCCACGGTGTCGCCGCCCTCTCCCAAACGTTACCGGGTCGAACTTTCGAAGCTGCTCAGCTTCTTGAGGATCAATGATGCATTCTACAGGAGGGATCTTGTATCGAAGATGATCATAGCAGTACGAGTATGTCATGTGCTTCCTCCTGAAACTCTCCATTTTTGTTCTTTTAGCTGCCGGGAGATTGTTGGGGATGGTGGCTTTGGAGCTACGAGTTAGGTCGCACTTGGAGAAGACTTGTTCGATCGGGTCGACTGTGCAACCGTGCAATACGAACTCGGAGAATTCGGCAATATAGGGTGCATATTTGTAGTTGACCTTGTATTTGCCTCCATTGGTAGCCCAGCTTGATCCATCCCAAATTGTTGCATATAAAGTCATTGGCTTGGATGGAAACTCACCACCCATTGAAGCTGTTCTTTGAACCTCTCTTATAGGAACTTCATCCACATAAAATCTACATAGGGAGAAAGGGGAAGCATTAAGTTTTTTATATCTTATAAGAAACAATTTCATTGATGTATAAAATTGCCCCATGAAAAAAAATTCCTAATCCAAGGCAGTCACAAAAACCTATCCAATTGGAGAATAATGTAGAAAGACTATAGTAATGGAACAGAGGAGTGCATTTATACCAATGTAATACCCAAATAAACAACTGTATAAAAAATATCAAAGATCATTAACAATTCGGACTTCATGATCTTCAAACATATCAACGATTACACCTGCAAAAGAACGCCGTGCTTTTTATGGTTGACAATAGTTTAGTTCACGAACTAAACCCTTTTCAATATGTGAGTCAATCCTTAACCTACCATATTTAGTTTCCTATTAAATCTTAGGTATGTGACCACCGTGATTTGAACTCGTTTCTTCTGAGCCTTCCTAACCTTTACTTTTTTCATTGGCCCCAATAACCACTAAGCTAAACAATGGTGCTTAAAACGAATTTAAACAAATAGACATTAAAAAAAGGTACTTTTTAAAGGTAAACTGTAGAGACTAAAACAAAACCTCATTCAAAACCCAACATACCACATACTAAAGGACTTGAACACTCACGATTTTGAAGTCAACATCACTAAAAGTTGAAAAACTATAACAGAACATTTAAAAGTTTAGAGATCAAAACAGACGTTATGAAAGTTTATGGATCAAAACAAAAGATATGAATGGCGCAGGACCAAAATAAGATTTAAAACAATTGAGAAGAATGAAAAAACAAAGGACAGATTCTGTGCCCACCAAGACAAGGCCTAGTCCTTTATGTCTTGGCTTTCCACATAAACAAAGCCTGCACCTGTAGAGATCAAACCACAGGGGGCAAAAGGAAATCATATACTTTCTCATACAATTTTTCAAATGAGAACTATTTGGAAGAATCAAAGAAAAAAAAACCACATCTTTGAAGAAGAAATGGAAGGGAAAAAATAGCTTACATAATGCGAGAATCAGTCCAAAGAATGCTGTAGTGATGGAAATCTTCAGCTGGATCAAACCAGAGACCATATCTTTCTTCTCTCCCAACGTTGGTGCTTCCATTCCCATAAATGTTTGTCTGAACCCTCCATTCTTTGCCTCTGATATTCCCTAAGAACTCGAAATCGATCTCGTCATGGTTCTTCTCAAACATGTCGCCGTTCGACATCTGTCATCCCAGTTAGTGACAGTTACTATGTTGAGTTACAAATCTAGATGTTCAAAGGAATAAAATTTCGTTCTTTTTTAAAAAAAAAATTTAATAAGTATCCTGTACAACTCAAGATTTGTTTGGGAGTGATTTACAAGTATCTTTAGAAAAATTCCAAACCAATTGTTAAGAAAGCACTCCAAAACACTTTTCTCTATCACACTTAAATACTTTTAGGAGTGTAGAACCATGTCATACTTTTTACTAAAGTTTTATAAAGTATAATAAGAGTTATTTTGCTAAAATAGTCCAGCAATTTATAATTTTCTCAAAATCATCTGTTTTGGAAGTGAAGTGATTATATGTGTCTTTAAAAAAAAGTCAAAATCGTTAAAAGTGCTCCATGAGAATTCTCATAGAGTGCTTTTAACCTCAGTGATTGTTAAGGTAGTACTTAAAAACACAAACACCTGTTTTTATTACACTTAAACACACTTTTAAGAGGGTAAAACCAAACCTCAAAGTGATTTGTAGTTAATCACTTTGTACTAAAGCACTTTATTCAGCACCTTTTACCAAAGTGCTCCAAATAAAACTACTCTTACCAGAACTACTTCTTTTAAAAGCACTCTCAAACACAGTGCCGGGTCAAAGAAGTTCTTTTAACAAAATCTAACCCATTACTAATACTAAGTAGACATGGAAAAACAGGGTAAAATAAAAACAGAACAAAATCAAATTGAAAAAATAACACAGATAGTAAAATTATCTTCTGATTATCAGAAACTCATGGGAATGGCTGTAAAAGTTTAGGATTATTGAGAAGCTGAACAGAGAACAGTTCAAAACATTTCTAAAAACTAAACTGCTGTTTGATAACCCTTTTACTTTTAGTTATCTTGTTTCAAAGATCTAGCTTTGCTTTGCTATCTACTTGTTTAAAACATCTTTAAAATTTAAGCCAAATTTGAAGTAGCTTCTATAAAAATGGTGTTAAAAAACCAATAAATTGAGAGGAATTGTGCATAACTTCTGGAAACCCGAGACTAAAAACGAATGCTTCATTTGCATTTTGTTTTCAGTTTTTAAGTTTAGCTTATAACCACTACTTTCAACTCCCTTGTGCTTTCTTGGCTTTGTTATAATCCTTTTCAAGAAATTTCAAAAGCTAAAAAGAAAAAAAGGTAGTAAAAAAATCTTCATCATCAAAACAGGGCCGTAAATGAATCAGAGATTTAATGACACTCACATAAAAAGCAACCACAACTCCAGCAGTGTAATCAGCAGGCAGTTTAATGGAAGCACTGAAGAAGCCATGAAGATAAATATCCTGAGACACAAATCCAGCGCCTAAACCAAAACAAACCCAGAATCAAAAAACAGAAGAAGAGCAAAAATCAAACGCCAAAATCTCAAAACAGAGGACCTGTTCGCTCATCCAGATGAAGCCGAACCGATTTGCCATCGTTGAGAAGGACGAGATTGCCATCGCCGAACAAGTGGCTGTAGCCTTCGTCGAAGGAAACGATTGGGAATTTTGGAGCCGAAGAAGAGGAACAAGGAAGAAGAAGAGGAAGAAGAAGAAGGAAGAAAAAAGAAAAGAGCGCCATGGGAGAATGGGGAAGAAGAAGAAGAAGAAAGCAAAAGAGAAATGGAGAAAGAGGCGCTTTATGGATGCAAGGGCGAGCAGCACCGTTGAGCAATTTGGCTTCCTTCCAAAGATTCTTCCATTTTTAAATCACTTTTTTCAAAAATCACTTTTTTCCACCCTTATTTTAATCCACTTTTTTCTTTTCTTTTATTTTATCCGTGAATTCCTCGATCAGTTTTTGCGCATCTTGACTAACTTCAGAAGACAACTACATGATGATTCATATTTGATAGCTAATAAAATATATAAAATATTAAATTTAAGTAGGTCTTTATCCTGAGTTGAATTCATTTTCTATAAATCCTTCTGATATACCTTAGTTCCTCTAATTAATGAGCTAACTCATGATATTTTTCTGTCAATGTAAGCATAGTTCAGCAGTAATTGGTAAATATTATTTTTTTCGAGGTCGGAAGTTCAATCCCCCATATCTTTGTACTAAAAAAACCTAATTCTTTTCTTCTATTTTAGACTCTCTGTCCTTGAAACTTTTGAGTTTTTTTTTCTTTTCATTTCTTCTCTCTATTTTCATTTTAGTAGGAAGGTTAAGTTTTGATAACTATTTTATTTTTAAAAATTAAGTTGAGAAACACTCTTCTTTTGTCTTGCTATATAGATTTTACAAATATTTTTAAAATCTTTAAAAAATATTTTTGGCTTAGATTTTAAAAATGTTTAATAAAACATATAGGACAAAGGAACAATGAATGAAAGTAATGGTTTTAAACTTAATTTTTAAAAATAGAAAAGAAAAATGAATAAAACATCAACCTAAATATAATAATTTTTTTGAAATGTTATCTTAGCGTAACGTATTAAAGAGTTTTGAATTTGTATTAGAATTTTACCAACAATGACAAAAACTATTTTTTTTAATACGAGAACCAAAGTAAAATTTAAACTTTTTTTCCCTTTATATTACAATTTGAAGGGATTAAATTCGACCCCTAGTTGAGTTTTTTTATTTTACCACTCCTTTAAATTTGAAATTTAATCGGATGAAATTAAAACTTTGTGTAAATAGTATATAATAAAAAAGTAATATTCTTTTTCATTTTTTCCAAGTTTATTATTTTTTATGTCATTTTATAAATACATTGAAGATTAAAAAAAAAAAAGTCCAATTGGGTGAGGAGCAATCCCACTAATTCAATTTATTGCTTAAATACATCATTAGTAGAAAGACTTAACTCCAATTTATTTAGTCAATGGAAAATATTTTATTTTGCATTTAATTTACTTTTAGTTTTATTTTGGGAGGTGTGACAGTGTGTTATAGGTGGCTTTTTGAGGTGTGACACACTCATGATGTACAAGTGTAAAACACAAATTATTACAATAACTTCTATATTTATTTCTCAATAAATTTTCCCTTGGAATTTTGTAATGAAATTTTCTCCCATTCTATATGGTATATTCTGTGTTTATTTAATCTTTAAATGAAAAAGTCAATTATACCCATCAACATTTTACTTTAGTTTTAATAAGGTATTGATATTACGATTATTTAAATATTCATGTGACATACTGATAGAACTAATAAGTGATAAAAAGTAATACAAGAAAACAGGTTAACAAGATAAAATAAAGGTGAGTGAGAGAATAAAAATTGTTTCCAATGTTTTACATCCTACTTGTCCCATCAAATTTATGGTTAGTTAATAAGACAAAATGACAAATGCAAAATACTCTCTGCTTTTTTAAATGACGCATATTTTCGAACTTCCAACTTTAAGAAAAGTGCGTATTAATTATGGATGGGCAGTTGTATTTGCTTTGTTTCACTATATATATATATATATATATCTATTTGTCAATTTTATTTGTAAGAACCACATAATATCATCTCCAAAATTAAAAATTTTTCTTTTTAAATTACCACTAAAAAGACCCAATGTGTACTAAATTTTATAATTCAACAAACTAATGATTATCTAAAGAGTACTCTACTTGCAAGAGTCAAAGGGAAGACGTGGGAATCAAACTTTAGATAAAAGAATTTTAATTAAATCAAGATTAGTCAGCTAATGCATTATTGATGAATATAAAATATAGAAAAAAAAATAACATTTTGATTCTTGAATTTTCACTCATAAGATCACTTGGTCTCTATATTTGGAAACCATAATTTTGGTTCCTCAATTTTTGAAATATGTTCAATCAACTAATGCCTCTGTTAGGTAACTTACAGCAAGATGATTGCATTGATGTGACAGCTAGAAAATATCTTTCGTTACATGAAACCGTAAAAGTGCAATTCCTTACATATGTCGTATACATATGTCAAAATATAAGCATCGTACGTAATGCAATCTTATAGCAATGTGATAAGTCTTGTGATCACATTTTATAAGGGACATTATGTAAATACTTGCTTGTGGAAGACCAACACGATTTTATCTTTTATGTGAATGTATTTGGATTTATGATCATGTTGTTAAGTTATTCGATCATGTTATGAGATGACCAATAACATCCAACGATAGCATGGATTCGCAGCGTGATGTTATATATTCCATGTGGACATAGTAAGGTTTCATCCAATTCCTATTTTATTAGGTCGTGCTACGCAATGGACGTTCTACCACCCAACATTCATAGCATGGATATCTACGTAATGAATGATATTTTTTAACTCTAATATGTCATGTTAATTAACTTTTTCATGAGAAATCTAATAGAGTCGTTAATTGAGGGACAATTTAAACCTATTCCAAAATTCAAGTATCAATAGTACACAGATTTTAAAAAATACGAAACAAAATGATATATAGGCCAAAACTCAAGACCAAAAAGTACTTTTCCCAAAAATATAAATTTCCCTTTACAATCTTTTTTTTTTTTCGTTTTTTTCTTTCTGAAATGAGTGGTAATAATTTAAAAATATATACCACATCCTCAAGTGGGGTTTTTGCAAAAAAGTTCACCTTTTCCTCAAATTTGTTCACAATTGTACAGACGTCAAAAAGGACAAAAGCCACCCTAAAAAATTAATAATAAAATGCATCCTTTTCCAATATATAGTTCACTTTATCCACTTCTTATGAGAATATTCAAAGCTTGAGAAACAAACTTGGATGCAACTTTTAAGTTTTAAGAGTAGATATTGAAGGTCGAGATTTCAATTTTATAGAAACGTCAATAAAAATATTGATAAGATATCGATGTGAACATATATTTATAAAAAATTATAAAAAATATTTAAAGTAATAAATAAATATTTCCCTATTTTTAAATAAGTTAAAAATTATAATATTAAAAATGATTAATATTAATATTATGTCTAGAGTGAAATTTTTTTTTTTTGATAGTTTTTACATTTTGTGTGATTTTTTTTACCATATTATGGACGATAAAATTTTAATACCTGTTTGAAAGTTTAAGAAGGGTAAAGTAAGTATTTTAGAGGCACTTTATTATTATTAATATTATTGTTGTTGTTGTTTTATATGGGGCTAAATATTAAATCATAGTGGGCAAATGATTACAAATTCTTCAAAATATATTTATCATGATCATTACCAAAATTTTTGGGTGCTTAATAATGGATTGTCTTTTAGTCAATTTTTGTTTTTAATAATCTAATCTTATGTTTAATCATGAGTTCTTTGATTATGGTTAAATTTAGGGAAATTGCAAAATCATACTTCCAACCCTAAACTTTTTTTTTTTTGAGTAAATTCAACTATAAAATTTTGTTATAACCAAAGCTCCAAAATTTCAATTTATTAATCCTCCAAATTTATAAAATTGTTGCAACTAAATTCCACCATTATGAACTATTACTAATGGATTGCAAAATGTATAAATTAATTACTATTAGATTATAAGAATATTGTTACAACTAAAGTATCGAAAGTTGTTACAGTTCAAATTAACTCGAAACAATTATATAAGATTGAGAATTGTAATATTAAAAATAAAAATTAATTCAAATTTTGATAACTATGGTTAAAATATGATGTAATTTCATATCTGTACCATGGAATTCAATTATAGTGATTGTTGCAGTTACATTCACTAACTTTCAATTATATAATTAGACCCTTTTTTTTTTGTTATTGATAGCTATTTTAATTATTTAATTGTTTATATTTCTTTTATAAAATTTACTTTTAGTTTTGTATAAGTATATGGTTCAAACTGTCAAATTTTACATTTAAAATAAAAACTTAATATCCTAATAATATTAATATTATTGTAATTAAGTTAACTATAACAACCAATCTGTAGATATCCTTGAACTAAAAAAAAATTGTAGATATCTTTTTTTTTACTTTCTTGCATTTTAATAAAACAAATTATAAATACACATTTTTTTATTTCATAAATACACATAATATATAGACAGATTTTCTTGTAATTATTTGTCTGTGATATAGTCAAAATATATAAAAAATGTTAAGTTATTTCTAAATGTGGATGTCAATAGATATTCTTGAAAAAATTAAAATTATCTAAATTAATAAATCAATCCTTTATCGTTTTAAATTGAGTTAAAATTTTTATTTTTAATATTATGTTCCATCAACGATATTTTATTAATTTTTTCAATACTATAAAAATATCGATTAAAATTTAATACTTTGGACTACCAAGAGGAGTTGGTGGGTAGGGAAATTGGGATTTTTGACCCATTCCAATGACTACTTTGGACTTTTGACTGCCTTTTGATTTTTACCTATTTATGACCCCTCCAGCTCAGATTTCTGACTCTTCCCCTTATTTTGCTTGGTAAAATCACCAAGTTACCCTCAATTTAAAAAAAGAAATCAAACCCAGCCCTCCCCTCCTTTCCCTCCCTGTCTCGGTCCTTCCCCTCCCTCATTCACTATCTCGTTGTTCATCCCAGTCTTCATCCCGGTCTCTCCCTCACAACCAGAAAGTTCATCTCCGTCGTTTCTTCTTTGTCTCCCTCACTTCGTCTCTATCAGAGCTTTCCCCCTTCCCTAATTGAGGTAATTTTTCTTTCGAACTCGCGATCTTATTGTGAATTATTTTCTACCTTTTTTTTTCTTCGTTCTTTGCATGGGTATGAATGATTTCAACCTT